GGCACCCAGCGCGGCGGAGCGGTGCGACCAGTCGCGCCAAACTGGGACGAAATGACAGCGGCGCGCTGCACTGCGCTGCACTGCGCTGCACTGCGCTGCAGCGATCACTTATTGGCAGCGCATCGATTATTGGCACGTCGGCGAGGCGAGGCGCTGCGGTGCAATGCGGTCCAGGTGCGAAGCAGCCAAGAAGAGCCTGGCTGCGCTGCTGCGCCGCTGCGCTAGCTGCACGCGCATTGGCCTGGCGGACCGGCAAACCGCAGGCCCGGCCAGCCGGCCGGCCGGCCGCAGCCGAGGCGTGGATTGGTTTAAACGGCTCTCTGGTTAACGCCTTCGGCGTGGCGTATGAAAAACGGCCAGCTTCTTTTGATTGCGAACGACTGCAACGCCGCTTCGTTTTGAAAAAGCTCTCTTTTGCGAGAAACGAGTCCGCATCGCTGGATTTGCAGACGCCCGTCAACAATGTGCTTCGGCGGCAATGCTCTTAAACCAAGGCGGTTCTTTTAGGATGGGCATGCATGAGTGGTTCCAGGCACTACCAACCACCCGGCAGGAGAGGAAAGGGCATGTTAGCTTTTTGAAATCAAAGTTTGGAAAGCTCAGAATGTCGCTGAAAAGAAGCACCGCCGCTCCGGCACGTCCCTGTGGCGTCCCTGCGGCGTCCCGCCCGGTCGTCCCGCATCGCGTCCACGCCCATCCCGTCGCCTTACGGCCTCACGGCCTCACGTGCGCAGTAAACGGTACCAGCCACAACTTTTTCTCACACTTCAATCATATCATTGGAGCCGATGCGAGACGAGGCGGGCATGGGGCGGGGCTCCGGCCGGCTTTACCGCAGAGCACTCTCTCGATGCGCTGCATGCCGCCGTCTGCGCGGTCTGCGTCGCGCAGCCGCCACCCGCGAGAGTGAGAGAGAGATTGAAATTCCTCGAAAACACTACTCCACGTCCACTCCCTTTCCTGGACGAAAGCTCCCAGCCGTAAGCCCGTCTAGCCCCGGGTGACAAACTCTCACCCCTCATTAGAGGAAATGGCACGACACTGCCAAGCCGAGCTCGTGGGGGACGCGCAGGGACGCGCGTGGAACGACCTGGGGCCTGAGCCTGGAGCCTGGAGCCTGGGACCTAGAACCTCGAGCCTGCACGGTTAGATTTGGTCCTGAAAGATTCAGGATCGTAACACGTAACCGTAACACTAACCGGACAGGCAGAAAAATCTGCCGGGGCCTTCGGATTTGTGACCAGTAACGTCACAAAGTTGGTCAAAAAGTGATTGAATCTCCGAAAGTAGCCGTTTTTGCTGAATTTGAGCGGCCACTGTGTCCAATCTAGTTGCCGTAAAAGGCCTCCCTCGACGTCCTAGTATTCTTAAGACCCTACTCTTTCATGCCCTGTGTCGGGAAGACGTTGACCACAACGATTTTGCCTTTGACCGCAACGATTTTGGGACCAAAGTTGGTCAAAAAGTGGTCGAATATCGGAAATTTGCTGATTTTGCTGACTTTGGGCGGCCACTGTGTCCAATCTAGTGGCCGTAAAAGGCCTCCCTCGACGTCCTAGTATTCTCAAGACCCTACTCTTTCATGCCCTGTGTCGGGAAGACGTTGACCACAACGATTTTGCCTTTGACCGCAACGATTTTGGGACCAAAGTTGGTCAAAAAGTGGTCGAATATCGGAAATTTGCTGATTTTGCTGACTTTGGGCGGCCACTGTGTCCAATCTAGTGGCCGTAAAAGGCCTCCCTCGACGTCCTAGTATTCTCAAGACCCTACTCTTTCATGCCCTGTGTCGGGAAGACGTTGACCACAACGATTTTGCCTTTGACCGCAACGATTTTGGGACCAAAGTTGGTCAAAAAGTGGTCGAATATAGGAAATTTGCTGATTTTGCTGACTTTGGGTGGCCACTGTGTCCAATCTAGTCGCCGTAAAAGGCCTCCCTCGACGCCCTAGAATTCTTAAGACCCTACTCTTTCATGTCCTTTACGGGAAGGCTATTGACCGCAACTGGTTTGGGAGCGGTAGCCTTACGAAGTTGGTCATGAAGGGTAAAAACAATGATGATCGGGGGTCTTTTGCGGTCTTATCTGCCGGGGCCTTTTGGGGGCTAGTCCGAGCCTGCCTAACCTTACCTAACCTAACTTAACCAAACCAAACCAAACCTTTTGGGGAGGTACATTTTGCCGGCCGGGCACGGGGCAAAATGGGGGGGGGGCACATGTAGGCACATCGAGATCGGCGCGTCCCTTGGAGGCACACGACGCGGCAAGGCACGGCAAGGCAGAGCCGGGCACGGCGCACGCGAGCGAGTGCTCCACGGGAACCTCACGCAGCCCGTGTACCGCGTGTACCTGTCCGGCGGGGCGCGTGAACCGTCCTTGTCAAGTGGCACTTCATAAATCTCACATTTCGGAGCAGTTTCTCCAGCTTTCGGCGCACGCCATCACAGCGACACTGTCACGCCGTCCGCCGTGAGATATTGGTTTGCTCGGTTGATTGGTTCCGAAGACACACGCACATTTTTTCCAGTCTGGCTGCACGGCAGTGCCGAGGCAGTGGCAAGGCAGTGCCCCTCGCCACGCCATGCGATACCGATGCGATGGAAGCGTTCCCGTCGACCACAAACACGCGTCTTCACGTCAACTATAATTATTGATCTCTTCTCCAATTGCGACCGATCACTCAGCAGCCGGGCAGGCCGGGCAGGCCTTTTTCCTTTGTGGTGCGCTCATCTCCCCTGATCCATATTCGCTGCTCCGCTGCAGCACCGAGCTGAAACAACTCGTTTTTAATAACGTTGTGAAGTCGATTCCACTTTGTTTTGTGGTGTCGGTGGCGGCCGAGGGGCACAGCAGGCTCTGCACGTTCGATAGCGTTTCGATCATTACGGACGGTAAAAACGGGCAAAACGGAGCGAGGCGGGAAACGAGGCGGCGTGCTCTATTTCGCCCCGGCAGCGCTGAAAACTTGCTTCTGTTTTTCCACAAAGCAATCTCCACCGAAAACTAAAGGACTAAAGCGGGCTCCAAGCTTCTCCCTCGGCTTCTCCCCACGTGGAGGTGCCGAATGGGAGACACGTCCATTTCGAGTGGGGAGTCCCATGTCTCTCTCGCCCAAAACAGACCGCCCTTTCCCACTCGGTGTGCTCAGCGTGCTGGCCAGTCCTGCACTTAGAAAAATGACTTCTTTTTCAAAATTAATAATTCTTGGTCCAAACCTTTTTTCCTTGTTTGAAAAAAAAAGTTCTTAGATCAAGAACTAAAAAAAGGTGAGGTAAAATTTGATAACCCTTTTTCTGGGAGTGGCCCGTCCACCCGCGTCGTCTCCATCTGCATGCCTCAGCCCGGCTCGGCCCGCAGTCCGCGGGGTCAGCCACCCTCCAAACGTGTCTAGATCTGAGGCGGGCAGGCAGGCAGGCAGCACGGCAGCGCTCGAGGCCCTCGAAGCTCGAACCACCCCCTTTCCTTCGCCGCCCTTCTTTTTCCATGTCACTGTCGGCTGCGATCACATCAAAGACTTGAGTGCGTCTTTAGCGGCGCTGCGCTGGCGCGGAGGGCGAGCAAAGGGGTGGGCCGGGGCGCGGCGGGGCGGGGAGGGGCGGGGTGGGGTGGGGAGGGGAGGGGCAGTAAGGGGTGGGGCGGGGCGTGTGCCAAAGTGGGAGACATTGACAATTTGGCCGGTGAGGACTCAGCGGCGGCGGCTGGGCGCCTTGGACGTCGTCTCAAGTTTTCCATCTTCCATCCTCCTTTCTCTGCAGCCGCTTGGCGAGTGTAGTGGCGTAGTGCACGCGCGGTCGGGCCGACGGACCGACGGACGGCACCCAATCACGGGCCGCCGCCGTGGCCGCCGTGCTCGCATCATTATTCCCATTTTGCTATGATAATTCGCCGTCGATATTGGTTCTGGCGAGGGCTGAAGCAATGGCTGAAGCATTGGCTGAAGCCACATCGCCGGGCGGCCCTGCCGGCCCTGGCGGTCGTCGCTGCCCATTGGTTCTGCATGACGTGGATCCGGGTACCGCGGTACGAAACGAAGCGAGTACGCGCTGCTTCCGTCCCTCATCGATTGGCTCCAAAGGACTGTGGAAGCAAGTGTACGAAGCGCAAGTGAGTCGAAAAAACACTCCCGAACCAAGATACGGTACCTTGTTGGTGTCAAAAAAAAATAAAATAATAAGTTTTTATAAAGGTTGTTGTTTGTTTATTTTTTCTGTGTTTTGATGCAGGGGGGACTGGGTGCGAGACATGAGGCGCCGTTCGTGATTGCCGGCCGTAGCTGTTCCAAAAATGCCTCTAATTTATAAGCAGCCCTCGGAGGGCGACCCACCTCGCCCCCACCCTCCCCCACCCCACCCCTTTCGCTCCACATTCGTACCACAGTTTAGCTGTTACCGATGGCAAATCGATACTCTTTCAGTCTTTCGGCTCCCGAGGCCTTCCTCGTCGTTCTCGTCGCCCCGTCTCGGTGAGGGGGCCCGCTCCCGCTCGCCCTCACGTCCCGTAGCATGACGTTCTATCTCTCTCGCACTCATGGGCGTTCCGTCGACGTCCGCCGAGGAAGACAGAGCGACGAAAACTACTCTTGGAATCGGTCTGCAAGGCAGGCACATGGCCCCCACGCGGTGCTCACTGTTCTCGCCAATGCATTGCCGCCCCTACTTGCTGCACTTGTTCACTTCTGTGGCACCCGTAGCCTCCTGGGTTTCCCTGGGGTTTGGCGTTTGGATTTGCTGTGGGGCGGTCCTGCTCCCGTGCCCAGAGCTTTGAGCATCGACTCAGCGCCAGTGGGCTGATTCCGAGAGTCGTCTGCGTCACTTTGTCTCTCTCGCACCGATACGGCACGCCCCATGAGAGCGAGAGAGACAGAGCGTCGAAACCGACTCTCGGAATCAGTCCGCAGGCCGGGCGAGGCCGCCTCGTTGCCGCTGCCGTGGCCGCGCCGCGCTTCGAACTCGGCGCGCCTTCCCGCCCGCCGGCCGTAGTTCGCGGCGTCGCCGCTGGGTGGCGGTAAATCCGCCGCCACCTCCATCATGGCTGCCTGCTGTCGCTGTTGTTTGTTTTGATCGCGCGAATCGTTTCGCGTCGAGTTTCCCGCGTGACTGGGCCGATAGCAAGTGTCTCAAAGTGATCCTGGATCGTTATCAGGCGTGTTTTCTGTGATGTCATCGCGCGGAAGTGCCGCGGTGCTCTGAAGCGGTCGCTGAAAGTGGCCTGTGACGTGTACATAACCTCCGAACCTCTCATCCTTTCCATCGGCGAACAAGCGGCCTGCTTTTCCGTGGTTGTGTCAGGGGCTAGAGAGATTGCCACGCACTGCTTACATTCAAAGCCTGAAAATGAAGGAAGACTCCGAGCCTTCGCATGGCGTCGGGAACTCCCAGTGTACAGAGCCTCAGTCCACGCCCCAGCCAGGGCCTACAATGGAAACACACAATGTGCAGCCAGTGATCCCCGACTGTGACTGCGGCTTCACCCATGCTCAAGATTCCAATGCCACTGTACCTCTCAGGCTGCGTAGAGGTGGGTCTCTGGCTCGCACTCTGTACCGCAAGACTGTCGCAGACAACGAGCTGAGACATATGAACAAAGCTGTGGTAAGTTTGACTCAAATAACGTTGCTTAGATACTCCAGTGACTTTCATACAAATATCTTTTCAGTAATGTATATTGTCCCTCCTATGATTATGTATCTTACCTGGCTATTTAACTGTAATCTAACTCGTGTACTTTCCCGGTGCAAACTAAGAAGCCAATGGCGAAAACTCGTAGATTACCGTTATAAGCACTCAACAAATGGATAGTTTCTCATCATGGATCTCTGGGCTGACTCTGTGTTATCTCAGCGCACTAACACCTCTCTCTCTTATATCTGCTAATCCAAAGTACTGCAGAGGTAAAAACAGAATAAAAATTAGGCTTCCTGTTTTTTGGGGAGGAGCTGAAGTATTCCAGTAACCGTGGTGCATCCATGAGATGTTGCATCATAAAGTTAATAAACCTATCCAAACACACATCATACCACTATTTTTTTATTTTTTTATGGTTTCTGAACTTTGTCCATTAGTCAACAAACTTTGACAGATCTTTTTTTTTTAATTTTTCTAATAATTTGAGTTTGTTATTTGTGTACTTATGGATGGCCAAAAGGGGAGGGGGGCGTGCTGAACGCCTCGCCGCTTGGCTGGCTAGGGCTAGGGCACGCCGGGGCACGCCGGGGCACGCTAGGACAGAGGCGCGCGGCGCGGCGCGGCCTCGTCGGACGTAATGGCGATCCGGCCAGTCTCGTCCTCGTGATTCCTCGGACTCCTCGGAATCGAAATGAGAAAGTAAATTAGATAATCACGCGTCCATTGCGGCCTGTTCTTGTTGATGATGTATTGGCAGGGATTGGCAGCCCCCCTCCCCCTCCCCTTCCCTCCACTTATCCCCGCCAAGAGTCAAGTCAGTCAAACCGTTTGGTGAGCTGATCTACATTTGAATGGCAGACTGGCGGTCAGCTCGTCTAATAGTAGCGAACCCGCGGCCTGGCCCTGCCGGCCCTGCTGCTGCACGCCGCCACACTGCACGCGGCACGCACCGGGACTGGGGCCTTTCCTCCGTCATTCATTCCAAAAGGGGCCGCTGCTGCCGCACTGCCGCCGTTGCGCCCCCAGCCGAGCGGCGATGATTCCGAGCGAGTTGTCCGGCTGCCCTCGCTCTGTCTCTCTCGCACTCACGTGGCGTTGCGTGTGGGCGCGAGAGAGGCAGCCACGGCAGGACCGCTCGGAATGGCTCTGCAACTCTGCCGCGTCGCGCTCTACGAACGGCCAACTCTATCTGCCCGACGACTCGCTGTCGCCGTCTGTCGAGCTGGATTCGGCCGAGGTGCGCGTCGGCCCAGCGTGCCTGCAGTGTCGCCCCGTGTCGCCCTCGTCCCGCCCCTTCCTGGTCCAGGCCCTGGAGGCCTCGGTCGTCTCCAGCCGTCGGCGAAATGGATAATTTCAAGCCGCGGCCGGCCAGGCCGGCCAGGCCGGGTGTGCCGCGATGCGATGGCGCGGTCGTGGCCACTTTGCTGGTGGGCCCGATCGGTGGGTCCGGTGGGCCCGCGGCCGCGGCGCCTGTCCATAAGGACACGTGCGGGCCGCGTTGTGGTGGCCGCCCCGCCGCGCCGCGCCCCGCCCCGCCCCCCAGGCAAAACGCACTGGCAGAGGCAATCCCAGCGGGATCCGTGACTTGGGAGGAGGCGGAGGGGCAGCGGGCTTATGGCTGCCTCGCTGCCTCGCTGCAATTGGATTCCAATTCTAATCTATTAGGGCTGATTATCGGCCGGAAGAAAATAACGAATTTCACTGAATGCTAATCAATGCCGGCAGGCCGCGGCAGGCAGGCTGGCCTTGCCAAATGACGCGTCCGTTAGAAAGTATTTCGAGGAGGCGGCGGAGTACGCATGGCGGGGCGGGGCGGGGCGGGGCGGGGCGAGGTGTCGGCGAGGGGGTAGGGCTGTCCCGCCGCGTCCCGAGCGGGCGCCGCTCCGCCGCTCTAAAAGCCAAACGCCGTAGGGTTAATGGAGCGGAGAGGGTGGGAGAAGGGCTCAAGTCATATCGGACCGGAGAGGCGAGGGGAGGGGATGGCAGGAGGTCTCAACGCGCTAACCTATTCCATCCCCTTCATTCCCGCGACTCTGCCTTACCCCTTCCAGCCTCGCAGCCTCGCCGCCTTCCAGCCGCACAAGTAGGTCGCCGAGAAGGAGTTTCCGATGCGGCGGGCGGGCCGTGTGGGCGGGGTGGCGCGCCATGGCGGGGTCCTCGGCCCTGGACGTAACTCCCCGTGAATTGGATCCTTCTTCTTTATCAATACACAACATACATCCAGCCTCCCCGCCTGCCTCCCCGCACGTGTGCCACGGGGCCCCGCCGCCCCGCGCGGCACTGCCACTGCGAGGGACGTCTGAATCAATAAGGAGGGCGTCTGCATGCGCAATGCTGTGCGCCGCGTGCGGAGCAGCGCGGGGCCTGGCGGGGCCTGGCGGGGCGCGACGAAAAAAGAAAGAGGGCCGGTATTTGAACCCGGCGACGTGCGTGACTTGGGGGCGGAAGTCGTTTTGGAGTCGCGGGGAAGGAGTGGCAAGGCAAGGGGCGGCGCGCGGATGCTTGCGGCATTGTCGTGTTTCGGCGACGCGTCATCTGGACGGGCCAATTAAACCGCATCGTCATCAGGCAGGGCCAAGGCAGGGCCACATTCCGCGCCGCGCCAAAAAAGCCCGGCCGCCGCGCGCCGCCGTGTGAACCCTTGTCACGCGTTGTGTGGCGGGGCGGCCGAAACCGGCCGAAACAGGGCGAACCCAACCCTTCATTTTGCCGGCCTCACCTGGCCGGGGCCCGAAGGGAGAGTTCTCTCACTCAAAAGTTTGATATTCACAGATCGTTTGAATGTGTCGCATTGTTTGTCGCGTTGTTTCCTGGCGGGTTTGACGCGAATTGTCTGCTCTGGGCTGGTGCTGGGCCTCGTCGCGCGCTACGCGGTGCCTCGCAGTGTAGTGACGCCGGCCCGCACCCCGCCAAGCACCGCCAAGCCGGCAGTGATTCATTCATTCATTCGTTCATTGAGGAGGCCGTATGGTCATCTGATGACGGAGGGCGTTCTGGGCCGGAAATAACACATTTGTCCATTGACTAGCTGCGAGCCCTGCGAGCCCCGCAGGCCGCGCCAGTTACACCGGGGCGAGGCGGGGCGGGGGGGAAGCGGCGAGGATGAGGATGATACTAATGAATACATCTCGGATCGCGGGGGCCCGGCTGCTCCCACACAGCCCGTCAGCCAGTCTGGCTGGGGCTGACCGTGGCTGGTCCGGCTGGCCGTATGCAGATGCACGGCGCGCTAAGCGAAGCAGGCAGGATGCAGCCCGCTCGACGCCGGCGTCCCGCGGCCCGGCCCGCCCGCACGGCGCGCACGGCCTGGCACGCAGGGCGCGGCACGGCACGCAAGGCACGCCGGCCTGGCGCCGCCCCGTCTCGCCGCGCCACCCGTTCCACCTCGCTGTTGTAACGTACGAACAAGGTTTTATCTCCCAATCGCCTCCTCGCGTCACAACCTGCGAGTGTGTGTGTGTGTGCGTGTGCGCGCTGCGAGCAAGCAAAGCCCTGCAGGCAGTACGGTTCGAGTACGGTTCGTGACAAGTAGTGCCGAGGTGTAAATCACATCCGAGGGGGAACAAAGGGAGCAAATATTTTGTTTTTAGAGGAGGAACGCTGGGAGGTGCGGACATGCCGGGCAGAGTGTCTGCGGGCTTTACGATCTGCCGTGCCAGATACGAAAATGCACGCGAGGCTGTTGTGGAGACACACACACACACACACAGACGCGCACGTGGACGAGCACTTCGCTGTGGTGGGGGCCCTTGCCAGTAATCTGGCGGTGGTCCGCGGATGCAGCCGTTTGATGCGCTTTGGCCGTCATAAGTCGGAAGAAAGTCCTCCGCCAATAAGTCGGCTGGCGGTCTGGCTGGCGGTCTGGCTGGTCGGCGCGACGTTTCGCGGGCTTCCTGCGCTGTAATAGCTTCTGCTTCCCCGAAGGACCATTGTCAGGCCGAGCGGCCGCCGCCGCCATGCCGCGAAGCCGCGATCGTCATGACGGATAGGTCTTCGATAGGTACCGAGCCTTTTTATATTTCCCCCTTCCTTTTTTTTCTCGTCCTCTTCGACTGGACACTTTTCTCTGCGGACACAAAATAAAAATGGATGACGCGCCGCGACATAAAAGATGAGGAAGATGAAAAGAGAGGTGTCTAGCGAAACCACAAAACACTGGGCAGGCCTCGGCGGGCCCCGGCGGGCCTTTTAGAGACGCCTCGGCGCGTTATCGGGCCGCGCTGCCGCCATGCTGCCGCGTTCGGCCTGATGAGCCGCCACTTACATCAGGGCCTGGACGGCGTGCCCGGCGTGCCCGGCACTGTCGCCGCGATGAGGCGGAACCTGACGCCCGGCACGCCCCGCCCCGCCCCGCCCCGCCCCGCCTGCCGTACTTCCGATCGGCCCATTTATACCAAAGATGACGGCTTGATTGGGCCAATCGTCGCAGCGCCTCAGCGCGTCCGCGTCGCGCCGCGTCCTCGGCCGGCACAGCGGGGACACCGGGGGACACCGGCCCGTCGGCCCTGCCGGGGGTCAAAGTCCGAGCCCAGCCCTTGCTGTACAGTGTGCCGATTCAGACTGCAGTTTGCGCCAGGCTGTTGGGACTCGTCCCCGGGGCGGGCGAAGTCCGTGTGCATGACATGAACGCGAACTGTTTTGTGCCAGAGTTAAATTGTATGTAAGTGTATGTAAGTTCATTCTTGTCCGCTTGCGATTCTGTTGTTGCATCTGCTCGCCAGAACAGAGGTCTCCTACACTCTGAGTATGTGTGTGTGTGGGGGGGGGAGGGGGCGCGAAAGTTGCGCAATCTGCGTGAGCGCTCGCCCAGCCCCTCAGCGGGGCCGGGCGGAATCCGGAGCCGGAACTGTCCCTCACGGTTAGTGGAACTGGGGGCACTCGTCTGCTGGCCGGAGCGGCGGCGGAGCGGCGCTGTTTCTGCAAAACGCGGCTCAAAGTGGTGTTTGAAGCGGCGGCGCGGCGGGGCGGCGGGCTACCGTGGGGCCAAAGACCACAGGCATTATGTTTAGCACCGCGAGGGAAAGACAACGGCAGCGCCGTAAAACGCCGGGCCGTCACGCAGACGCGCACACAGTGCGGTGCCACGCGGTGTAGGCCGTGCCCGCCGCCGAGGTGGTCCAGGTCCAGTCTTCCAAGTCCTGTTCTTATCGGTGGCAGTGTCGCCCCGGCCCCGGGTGCCGCCCCCTGGCGACGTCGCCGTCCTCCTCAAGTCCGCGCCGTCCGCGCCGTCCTGGGCGTCGCCTCGCCGTCGGCCCTGCCGGCCGGCCGGTGCATCGCCGCCGTTGACGCGCTTTACTGCAGTGCCGTTAAAGTGCATAACGACTGCAACTGTGCAGCGCGGCGCGGCACGGCGTCGCGGCGGCAGGCGTCGTGGAGGCGCGAGGCTGGCCGCGCCGCTGCCTTACCGGGCCTTAATTACAGGGCGGCCAGCCAACGCGGCCAACGCGGCCAACGCGGGGCCGAGGGGTTGCTCCCGGAACGTCTTGTTAAATTGTTGTACTGCTTCGTCCCTTCGTCGTAAAAACGCGCGGTCAAAGTACGGGGCTGTTTAGCCGTAAAAGGAATGCAGCTGCGTCGGAACAATTACAAAATTTGTCATTGTGGCTTTGTCTCTGACGCTCCTTTTTGTTGGTTTCAGTGGTACCAGACCAGGCTGGCGGGCTGCTCGGCCGCGGTGAGGGACTGCTTCGTGAGGATGGACTGCGACGAGGAGACCGAGGCGTTCCTCGCCGACGCCGAGGCCAAGTCCGAGAGCATCCTGCTGCAGCTCTGGTACTCGCTGGTCAAGCTGCTGCTGGGCTGGTTCTTCACCCAGACGTCCCTCAACGGGTGAGTGTGGCCGGCGCCTACCTGCGCCTGCCCATGGCATGGCCCATGGCCCCATGACTGCCTTTCTCTCATTCGACCAGGGGCGCGTTCGGCGTCCCCGTCCTGGACCCATTCATGGAGGCCCTCTGCTTGCTCGGCGCCCTCATGGCTTCAATGCGTTTAGGCCGCGCGGACCCTCATTCATATTTCGATCACAAATAACAGCGCAGTTGGGCCGTGACCCCCCCCCCCCCCCCGCATCTTCCAGATTCGTTCCAGCGCCTGAATAGAGGAGGCGTCACTCGGAAGCCGACAGCTCATCCTCTGCTAAAGAAAGATGGCCGCTTTATACATAATGGGGCGCCTGCAATTTGGCTGCAGCCTTGCCTGTGTTGCCGCGGACCGCGGACCGTTCGCCGTCTTTTGTGGATTTTTCGCCGGCCCGGCGCGGCGTGGCGGGTTCCGTTCGGCGGCGCGCTGCACCGCGCTTACGGCCGGGCCCCCGCCATGAATGAGCGCCCGACTGAATGGCCCCAGTCCCTACACTCATTACGCCATGGCGTGGCCGTGGCCGGGCCGCCACTCTTCACACCTCCAGCGTCCAGCGAGGCGTCCAGCGAGGCGCCCTGCGCCAGTCCGCGGCCGCGCTGGGTGACGGCCTGCCAAGGGCCATTTTGGCGCGCTGCCCTGGGCCCTGGCTGGGCCCTGGCTGGGCCCTGGCTGGGCCCTGGCTGGGCCCTGGCTGGTCCCTGGCTGGGCCCTGGCTGGGCCCTGGCTGGGCCCTGGCTGGGCCCTGGCTGGGCCCTGGATCGCTGAAGTCCATTACTTCAGCCTGGTCACCGTGACGCGTCCCACGGCCCCCCATCCTCATCCCGCTCTTTTCCCCCGAGAGCTAATTTTAATTAAAACGTTCCCCGTCCACCTGATTGGATGAGGGACGACCGGTGCGCGGTGCTCGTCTTTTTTGGGTGTGTTGTTTTTGACTTCTTGTTGTCTCTGGCCCGAACTTTTTTGGTCTCCGTCCGCGCCGCGGTTCGGGCAGTGCGACGTAGTGGCTGCAGTCACCGCTGGCTGTCAATCGCTGGCCGCCGGAAAGGGCAGCCCACCGTCGCGGCAGTGTGAGTCCGTCCCCCGTCCCCCCCCCCCTCGCAGCGACACTCGCAGCGACAGGCGTAACCAAAGCACGTGATTAGCCACCCCGCCTGCAGTGCCCGCAGTGCCTGCATCTCGGTGCAGTGCCGCAGCGCAGGCTCGGCCGCGCGGCGCCATTAGCGCGACATGTGTCAATCATTAGGCCTTGTACGCCACGGCGCGGCACTGCACTGCTGCCGGTGACTCACGCGCTCCTTTCACCGCGCGAATGCCTTGCAGGGCCTCGCCGCCGCGCCTCGCCGCCGCGCCTTGCCAGCCTGATGGTGCGACCGCGGGGCGGGGCCGCGGGGGCGTCCGTCGTCCGGCAGCGCCGTGGGCGCCACCCCGAGGACGGCCGCCACACCGCGCGCACCGCGGCCAGAGGCGGGGTGCGGAGGGGATCAACAAGTGTGCCGTGGAGGACGACGAGGGCGCCGCCAGCCTGCGCCAGCCTGCGCCAGCCCCGCCGATTGTTCGGCCCGGAGCGCCGGCAGCGTCGGCGGCATGGCGGCGGCGTCTCGGCCTGCTTATGCAAATGTGGCCAAAATAATTCTCTCCAAGCGCCCTAAGGGGGCCGTGTGCTTATTGTCCATTCGCCCCGTGCGCGCGCGCGCTTGTGTGTGTGTGTTTGAGCGCGCACGGCAGCGACTGGCAGGTGGTAATGAGTCGAAAATCCGGCACCATTTGGATAAATATTTGGCATTGTTGTTCGGAAATTGAGGCTGTATCTGATCCGCGCCGCACCGCCGCCGCTTCTTTGGCTCTCATTGTGGACCTGGCTGCTGTTTTGTAGTCCTGCCGCCGCCACAGTGGCCACACACACATGTGAAACACACACAGACAAAGCAACGCGCGCGAAAGGAAAGCAAGAGGCGGCGAGAGAGTTATGGTTTTCTTGCTAAAGCCGAACATAAAGGGCTAGATGGGCGATAGCGCGGCTCCAGGCGACAAACAGGCGCTGGAGCGCGCTGGAGCGGCAGGACACCTGGGCAGGGCTGGCGGGGCGGCAGCGAGGCGGCAGGCCGCAATTAGCATACGGGCCCAGTCTCATTATTGCTGCGATGCACCAACAAAGCGATAGGAATTCGGACCAGAGCCGGCCTCTGCCTCAGCCCCGGCCTCAGCCCCGGCCTCAGCCCCGGCCTCAGCCCCGACCTCAGCCCCGACCTCAGCCCTGGCCTCAGCCCCGGCCTCAGCCCCGGCCTCAAACCCGGCCTCAGCCCCGACCTCAGCCCCGACCTCAGCCCTGGCCTCAGCCCCCAAAGACGGTGACGAGGACTGTCCTTGGTTGCGCCATGAATTAGTCATTGATTTCGTCGCCATGGTCCGATCGGAATCGCTTAACCTTGATTATCCGTGTGTGTGTGTGTGTGTGTGTGTGTGTGTGTGTGTGTGTGTGTGTGTGTGCAGCATGCATTATTCGGGGAGGCCGGTGGACGTGACGCAGCCACAGCCCCATTTCGTCTCGGCCATTGAAATGCAGTATTTGAGGGAACCGCGGAGCTGGCTCGCGCTGGCGTTGGCCGCGGGGTGGCAGCGCTGGGCTGCGCAGTGGAGGTCGGGGACGTGGTCGTCCGGCTCGCCCCGCAAGAACACGGGTTCAAGTCATCGCCGCTTTCGCTGTGACTCGTGTGTCGTGTTGCGAGTGTTTGCCGCCCTGACAGGAAAAAAGGCGCGCTGGCCTCTTCTTCCTATTCCGGGGGCGGGAGGCGAGTGAGGGGCCCTGCGGCCGTGCTAACGCTAACGGGGGTTATAAAGTGCGCGGCCCTTAGCGGCCCTGGCTCCGTGCATCTGTCGGATTCCATTCCGCAGACTTATTCCTCTTCATTTTCGAACGAATCGCGCGTGACTGCCGCCCCGTCCGCCCCGTCCGCCCCGTCCTCGTCGCCTCGGTCCTTGACTCGGCGCGGCAGCCCTTGCCGCTGCTGCTCGCGCCGCGCGCCGCGCGCACAATAACAAATAAAATGCAGGAGGGAAAACTCGTTTTAATTTATTATTCCATTCTTCATTCTGATTTCGTTAATTCCGCGCTTGTCCCCCTCTGTTTCCGAGCGTTCAATAAATTGCGGGTGGCGGCGGTGACGGCCGCCGAAGGCCGAAGGGTCCCGAAGGGGTGCGGGGCTCCGGGTAGGCCGCCCCGGCGGGCCCGGGCCGCCCAGCTTCTGTTTATTTGCCATAAATTAGCAGCCCTTTTAATCTTCGCCGAGTACGTCATGCTTTTGTCGTCCGCGCTGCACGTCCGCGCCGTCGCGTTGGCGGCCGTTTGATTTGCGTCCTGGACGTGGCCGTCGCCGAGCCCTCCACGGCCGCGACGAGGGTCCTCCGGGAACAATGTCTGCATTCCGCGTCCAAAATCCCAAAATCCGCGCAATCGGCACCTGTTGACTGACTCTGTTGACTCCTCCGTGTCCACAATGAGTTGGCGGCCCGAGTGTTAGAAACTCGGTTAGAATGCGGGGCCTGCCGCCACGCTGGTGTAAACGCCACGCCGCGCCGCGCGACTCCAATCGAACGAGCAAAAAGACGATGAGCGTCTAGGAAAAAGGGAGCAAAAAGTATATGAACATCGAGCGAGGAAAAGAAAAGTGTAGGCAGGCTGATAATTACAGGCGGAACACCGGTAGCGAAGCGGCAGCGGCAACAATTGTAGCCAACAATGGCGGCGGCTGTATGGAATGTTAATTAACTATATACGCTATTCAATAGAAGCGACCGGCCATTCTCTTTTTAATTTCGGCGTCCGTGTGTGTGAGCGAGAGAGTGTGAGTGCGGCGCGCACGCTCGGCCACCTTTCTAATTAACGCGGCCCGGGCCGGCCACGCTGATTTCCTCCTCGTTTCCTTGTTTTTGCGGCCGTACTTTGGGGCCCTGGTTCGGGGCTGTGACTTTGCGGCCGTACTTTGGGGCCCTGGTTCGGGGCTGTGACTTTGCGGCCGTACTTTGAGGCCCTGGTTCGGGCTGTGACTTTGCCGCGCGCGCAAGTCTCCAGACTGCTTGCATGTATTCAGCTTGAGCCACTTCGTGTTTTGCTGTGCACAATGCAACATGTGTTTGAAACATTTCCTTTTTTTTTTCGAGAATGCAGCGAGATGCCATCTCCTAAAATTGCGAGTTTGGTCATATTTCAGAGCCTACCCGGCGTTCCCTCCCCTCCCCCTCCCCTCGTCCGTGCCGCCGCGCCGTGCTGTCTGGCCTGAGCGTTACCCGCAGACTGGCAGACTCGGAGGAGGCGGTCGTAACTTTCTTCATCTTTTTTGCAGGTTGTGTACCCCGTTCTAAATGGGTGTCATTTATGTCTGAGGAATGCCCTCATGTTTACCGGCCCTTCGTCGTGCGTTTGTTCGCTCGGGATGGATTTTGCCGTGAGTCAGCGCGCCGAGGGCCGAGGGATTGACGGCTCGTAGTGCCAAGTGCTTCCAAGAACCTCTACTTAATTTTTATTTTCGTATTCCGGACCTGAGGAGGTGTTGCGAAGTGTGCCGGGCGACCTGTTGAGGAGGTGTTGCGTAGTGTGTCGGGCGACCTGCTCAGGCAGACAACTCGGGGCGCGTTCTGCGCTTCGAAGCAAACAAGTAGCATTTTCCATTTGGTTGCTCTTCGGACCCGAGTCTGTCAGCAGCGCCATGATTCGGGTTTTGTTCCAGGACTATGTGAAGCGGAAAAAGAGTTTTGAGGTCTTTCTTGGGCTGCCTCGCTTGCCTGCCGGGGCACTCCGCCCGCGGCACCGCCCGATCAGAAGTTGACGCAAGTTTGCGACAGTTTGCGCGCGGACCCGGAGTGCGGGCCTGCGGGGCCCTGCGGCCTGCGGGGCCCTGCGGCCTGCGGGGCCCTGCGGCCTGCGGGGCCCTGCGGCCTGCGGGGCCCTGCGGCCTGCGGGGCCCTGCGGCCTG